GTGTGTGTGTGTTTGAGTGTGTGTGTGTGTGTGTGTACCTGGTATTTATCACGTTATGGGGACCAAATGTCCCCACAAGGATAGTAATACCAGAACATTTTGACCTTGTGGGGACATTTTTGAGGTCCCCATGAGGAAACAAGCTTATAAATCATACAGAATGAGTTTTTTTGAGAAAGTAAAAATGCACAAAGTTTCCTGTAAGGGGTAGGTTTAGGGGTAGGTTTGGTGTAGGGCAATAGCACATACAGTTTGTACAGTATAAAAACCATTACGCCTATGGAATGTCCCCATAACGTGATGAATACACAACATGTGTGAGTGTGTGTGTGTGTGTGAGTGTGTGTGTGTGTGTTTGAGTGTGTGTGTGTGTGTGTGTACCTGGTATTTATCACGTTATGGGGACCAAATGTCCCCACAAGGATAGTAATACTAGTAAATTTTGACCTTGTGGGGATATTTTTGAGGTCCCCATGAGGAAACAAGCTTCTAAATCATACAGAATGAGTTTTTTTGAGAAAGTAAAAATGCACAAAGTTTCCTGTAAGGGGTAGGTTTAGGTGTAGGGTTGGTGTAGGGCAATAGCACATACAGTTTGTACAGTATAAAAACCATTACGCCTATGGAATGTCCCCATAAAACATGGAAACACAACATGTGTGTGTGTGTGTGTGTGTGTTAGGTTGTATTAGGTTAAGGCAAAAAGGGCAGCAGATGAAACACACACAGTGAGGGATAGAATCATCCACATTACTTTTAGGATCCAAAAATGTTTTTTAGCTTGTTGCTTACCTACTAAAAATTGCTAATTAATTCATTAATAAAAAAGCATTTTATACACACACACACACACACACACACACACACACACACATAAACAAGTGAATGAAAGAATGAATTAAGGAATACTTAGTACTTACACAATACTTAAAGCAATTTTGCATCATGTAAGTCTTCATAACTACACACTCACACACTTATAATGTATTTCTATGTCAGAACGGGGTTTCAAAGGGCCCGAGGGGAAAAAGAGGAAGAACAGGTAAGAGGAAAGAGTGAAAGAGGAAAGTGTGAGAAAGGAAAGACAAACCCTGTGGAGTGCACAGAGGAGAATAGAAGACCAGAATGAAGAAAGGTTAAGACTAAGGTTGAGATGACTTAAAAGAGGTCAGTTAGAGAAGAGGAGAAAGAGAGAACGAGAGTGAATCTCTCACTTGGGTTTGGAGTGGCTGTGGTGTTTCCATTTGGCACCATGACTAAAAAACACTCAGAATGCCTTTTATACACTCAGACACACTCGAAACACAATGGAATTAATCTCACCATCACTTCAATGTGACCGCTCACGAACACACAGGCTTTTTCGAAGACAAAACTGTGTCTGTTCAAATAAAAACTGTTCAGAAAGCTATAATCCTTTAATTTCAGTCAAGACCTCACACAAAATCAGACAGTTTTTCACTATCTCTGTGCTCACTATGGGGAAAGAAATTGTGGAATTGGTTTAAACATGGTAAAATTAGTAAAACAGAGCACTATTATTCACAGCTGAAAGCCTTGGCAAATAAGCAAAACTGTAAACAAAATAAGTGAAATGCACATTTAGACTTTTTTTGCAAATACTGTAAACTTGCAAAAAAGAATTAAAATATTTATAAAATATATTTACATTGTACAATATTTGCTTATTTTAAGTCAATATAATGTAGGGTTTTTCAACTCA